TTTGCTCAAGATCTAAATCATGCATTACAATGAACCCAAGCACTAAGCAAATTGAGACAACCTTGACAACAGGTGCAAAAATTTCATCAAGGTCAATCCATTCCTTTTGCAAAAAACCTTTTATCACCAATCTTGCCCTATATCTTTCAAGCTTGCCATCAAGCCCTTTTTTTTCTTAAACACCCATTTACAACCAACGGCTTTTCTACCTTTTGGTAGCTCCACTAAATCCTAAGTCTTTTTTCTTTAAGGGCCAATATCTCTTCTTCCATAGCTCTTTTCTAATGCTCGGTACCATAGCTATCAATGGCTTCACGAGATCATGTTGGCTCTTCACTTTCAGCTATTAAAGCATGCAAAGTATTTGAATCCACATAATCTTTGTGCCACCCGGGTGCACAAGTCTCTCTAGTAAAGCCCCTATGTGTTAAAGGCACAATTTCATCTTGTTCTTCATCTTGCCTTCCTAGTTCTTCACCATAATCAATGGGTATATTATCATAAGGTATAATTGTACTTGGTAGAAATATTTCGGGGTTGCTATGAAATTTTTGGCTCTCTTGTTACACTTCTTGACCATTGTCATTTATCATTATCCCCTTTGCTAATAGCTTGGATTCATCAAAATGCACATTATAGCTAGTGATTATTTTTCGAGCACATGGATCCCATAACCGGTACCCCTTCACACCCTTGCTATAACCCACAAAGATGCACTTCTTTGACCTTGGATCCAATTTGTTCATTTGGCAACTTAGAATAAGTGCATAGGCATCACAATAAAATTTTTTTAAATCGAAGTAGTCACTCGGAGTTTCATACCATACCTCATTAGAAGGTTTGCTTCCTAATGCTACCGAAGGTGATTGGTTGATAAGAGAACAAACCATTGATACAGCTTCTGCCCATAATTCTTTTTCTAGGTCGGCATTGCTTAACATGCACCTCACATGCTCTATCAAAGTGTGATTCATCCTCTCAGTCACACCATTTTGTTGAGGATTGTAGGTATTTGTGTAATGCTTAGTAATTCCCTCGACCTTGCAAAAATTTTTGAACTCCTTTGATACAAACTCTCTACCATTATCGGTCCAAAAAACTTTAATGCAATGCCTTATAGATTTTTCAAATTCGATTTTAAAATTCTTGAATGCACAAAACACATCACTTTTAGACTTGAGAGTTTGGATACATACTTTTCTTGAGAAGTCATCAACAAATAAAACAAAATATAATGCACCACCATAAGATGTAGCTGGTGAAGGGACTCATACATCCGAGTGAATGTAACCAAATTTGCACGTGCTTGTATGCTTCTTGGCCTTGAAAGGTTGTCTATGTTGTTTCTCACAGACACAATGCTCACAAAATTCAGATTCATAAATTTTAAGTGTAGAAATAAAGTTCCTCTTCATCAAGACCTTCATACCCTTACCCCGATATTCTATGCCATAGGCGAAATGGAATTTCATTACCTTCGACCACGGAATTCACTTCATCATTTATTATTGTGCTTCCTAATAACTAGTACAAGCTCCCAACTATGACTCATTTCATCACAATTAAAGCTCCTTTTAATACTTTGATTACTCCACCTTGACTGGTGAATTTATATCCTTTCGAATCTAGAGAAGAGAGGGAAATCGAACTCTTTTTTAATTTCGGCATATGCCTAACATCCTTAATTACTCGAATAGTCTCATCAAACATCATTAGGCGAATGAAACTCATTCCAACCGATCCTCCTTCACATGACTCATATGAGTCAAACCATGATCTATGGGGGCACATGTGATGGGTGGCTTCACTATCAAGTATCAAACTTTGATAGAATATTGAATTATATGTCACCATCAATACCTCATCTTCAATGAACCCGGATGTACACTCTTCAACTTGATTTGCTTTATTCTTGGATTCACTTGACTTTTCACCTCCTACATTAGGAGCTTTGGAAGAATTCACTTAATTTTTTTTAAAACAATTCTTCTTTATATGATCAAGCTTTCCACAATGCCAACACACATTCTTGTTATTAAGTCATCTAGATTTTAATCGAAATCTTGAATTATTTCTTGAATGATTTCTCGATGAATCACCCCGTTCGTTCGATTGACCTCTTGCCATAAGAGCTTTCATCTTTGATACTACGGAACTTCCCAAAGATGTCTTCTTTCGAAGTTCATTGGCAAGTAGGGCACGTCACACCGTGCCCAAATCAAGAGAATCCTCTTTACTACAACTCAATGTAGTAACAAGGTTATCCTAAGAGGTTATCTTCATCGCTCATTCTCGCACCCATACTCTCAAGTTGACAAATGATGTTATTAAACTCATTCAAGTGTTCCAACACATTGCATCTTCTTTCATTCTCAATAAATACAATTTTCTTTTTAAGAAAAGTCGGTTAGTGGGGGATTTTGTTTGATACAAATTTTCCAATTTTTCCCAAAAATTTTTTGCCGTCTTTTCACCGACAATACTAAATAAAACTTCATTCGCTAAACCCAAGCGAATAGTGATCTGTGCCTTCATATCGAGTTCGTCTCAATCATCATCAGTCATATTTATCGGATTTTTATATTTCCAAGTAATGCTTTGTGTTGACCTTGATGTACCAATAAATCTTGCATTTTTAATTTCCAAATTTCAAAATTATTTTTCCCATTAAACTTCTCCACCTCAAACTTGTGAGATGCCATTTTCCTAAAAATACTACACTAATTCCTTGAGCTCTGATATCACTTGTTGTAAAATCAGAATAATCCAATCACCCTTTTGAGCACTACACCACAATGATTTTAACACTCAAAGAACATGTCCAAGATGCAATAACAAGTGCAATATAATTGGAAAAAATATAAAAACAATAAAACAAGCAATATGGAAAATCTTCAAAGCACAATATAAATGAAAACAGAGAGGAACACACACATTTACGTGTGTCACTCAAGATGGGCTACGTCCACGGGCAAGACGGCAAAGATGTATTCACTATCAAGAGGAAAAATTTACAAGATTGGGGTTATGTAGAGTTACCTCATACAATCTTAAGGAATGCTCAAACAAAAGAATTTTTTACCACAAAACCACTTATAATGGACTCCTTTCTTCGACTCACGATACCGCGAACAAATACCCAAAAAACGGCCCAAGACAAGTGCCAAATGATGGTGCTAGGGTTTTGTTGTGAAACCCCAATTTCCAACCCAAAGCTTCTCTCTATAACTTCCCTTTCTCCCTCACTCACTAACGTTTTCCTCTCTCAAAAAAACCCCTTTTATGGGAGGTGTGATTTTTGCATCACATCCCAACAATAATGTCAAAAAATAAAATAAATCCAAAATCGGGAAATCCATAAAAGCAAATCAAGAAAACTGCCCAAATAATGCACATTTGCCCCAACACCAACATAAAATTTACAGAAAACAAATCTCAAACAAAAACCAATCAAAGGAGGGAAAACCATAAAAATAAATTATCGAAAATGTTACAATAATGCATAAATACGAAACTCAAAAAGGAACAACTCCTGTCCATTCGTAGTAGGGAGCTAGGAAAGAAGAAGGAGATCCAGGAAAAAAAAACATCAGAACAATATTCTACATACTGATTTGAAGAACAAGAGCCTCACAAATAAATCCTTGAGGATAAAGGGTCTTTAAACAACACAATAACAATGGAGTGGAAAATAGAAGAAAGAACGAGGTGGTGTGATTTATAGTGGGGGCTGACCTCTTGTTGCGCAGGGTGGAACAACGGAGGAGGGGTGAACGTGGTGGCTGCAAATCGCATGGGAAAGAATGGGAGTAGAGGGAGAAGAAGATTCAGACGAGGTGGATAACAACGTGCGGCGGGCGCTTTCTTTGATATCCAAGCTTGCTTTTATAAATGCAAGAATTGGCTCATTCCATGGTTTTTTTTTTTTTGAATGAGCAATCGAGGTTATGTTGAGTTTTCGAGGATAGACAAAATTAGGTTACGAGGACCAAAAGTCGATCCAAACAGCCAGCCAATATTATATACCTGGATATGTAAAACCTGGTTTTCTAGACAGCAGGGCCCAAACAACCCACGAACTACTTAATCTATGCTATTAAAAATTAAATAAAATGAAATATGAGAGAGCATAATAACAACAATTGTTTCTTCCCTGTTTACTAAATCAAGAATTCCTTGCTATAACCATACATACCAAAAATGAAAGGGAAATGAATATCTTCTATCTCACATAGTCATTTTCATCAACACCCATCTTATAAATTTGCGTTCCATATATAATGGGGTAAAAGATAACTACCATGGAATGTAAGCAACTACCATGGAATGTAAGCATGGCATCCTGACTGCAAATGTGACAATTTAAGCGGCTAAAATTTGCTTGTAATGAGGGTATCACTTTAACTGATTACGTAGCAGTATTCCTAATATGTAATTAGCAAATAATGTCTAGCTACATTAAAATAAATTATTAAACATCGCTAAACTTTTGAACATCAAGCGACAATGAATAATACACCATTCTGAATCATATTGATTAAATCCTTTCTTTTCTTATACGAAATTTAGTGCTGGTTTCTTTATCTTTTATGGAGATCAAATTCCCTTTTGATTAAAGTCAATGATTTTAAAAAAGGGTGCGGTTTCTATAAGGTTGCAACCTTAAACAATAGAAAATTTTAAATTTCAAAAATGGTTAAAATCAAGTAGATCTATAAATATAGGAAAATCTTGAAAATGGACGGTCTAGATAATGTGTTGCAAGATGTACTATTTCTGGGAGTCAAAAACAATTTGTTTCTAATATTCATACATTTTGTTATCGAGATGATGAATTAGAGGGTTTTTCAACATTAAAACAACATTTCTGACAGATTTTTTATGTGCATATGTGATTCTACATTTTAAGGTTGCAACCTTATGTAATCTTTTCCCTTTAAAGAAAGCAATAATAAATTAGATATTTGTGTTGATCACATTGATAGACAAAAAAGAATGGGTTGAGGACAGGGAAAGCACACAAGAATTTTTCATTGATATCAATATAACCAACAATAAATATACCAAACAACCATTGTTGCAGAGGACAAACTCTCTATTTTCTCATTATAGAACTAAATTCTCTCTCTTGTAGGTATAGTGACTAGCTAAGCAGACAAACAAGCAGAAGAAAACACCACTAAGAACAGCCAACAGCCAGTAAAAATAGTCGAGGTGAGCGCGATTGAGGTTATCAGCGAACCAACTCTCCCCACCACTAGTTGTGCTCACCATCTCAACAATTGTGATCACTGCACTACTCAAGAAACTCCCCACACCGATAATGCTCAAGTAAAGGGCAGCCCCCAAGCTTCGCAACCCATCAGGCATCTGATTATAAAAGAACTCTTGTAACCCCACCATCGTGAACACATCCGCCATGCCAAAAAATAGGTATTGCGGTATCAACCAACAAAAACTCATTGGGACCATAGCATAAGGATCATCTAGTAGACCATGCTCCTTAGCTATTTGCAGCCTCTTTGATTCTACAAGAGCTGCCAATACCATGGAAATAACTGATATCACCATGCCAATACCGATCCTTTGTAACATTGAAATCCCACTTGGTTTGCTTGTGATCTTACGAGCAATTGGGACAAAGATGCGGTCATAAAAGGGAACTATGAGCATAATGCCCAAGCTTATGAATGACTGGAGGGCAGCGGCTGGAACCTGGAAGGAAGATCCTAAATATCTGTCCATGGTCTTGCCTTGCTTCGTGAAAAATGTCGAAGACTGCGCGAAGATGACAGCATAGCCTAGGCAGCTACCCCAGATGGGCAACAGTCGCAGCAAAAGCTTAGCTTCTTCCACTTGTGTGACAGTGCAAATCCTCCATTTGTTCTTCGAGCATGAGGCTACATCAAGCTCATCAGGAATGGCCGCTTTGTCTAAGCACCTGTAATTGATTTTCTCCTCAGTAAGTGTGATTTATTAATTTGAAATTAGGACTTAGTACCCAAAATCTTGGTCAGATTCAATTCTAATAACTTCAGCCATTCCTGAGTGGGATTGGAGGGAAACAATTGAAAAGAAAAAGTAAAAACCAATCATGGTCCCACCTCCTACCCTGAGTTGACTCAATTATTTTCAAATTAGCTAACAAGTTTTTTAAAGAAAAGTATATAATGAGATTATTTATCTTTGGTACAAGATGATCACAATTAATCTTGACGATTGGATGTGAAATTGGATTGCTGCATTTATTCCATTGGCGAAGCTCAAACTTCAACTCTTGAACTTTGTAACACATCCAAGCTATCAGTTTTCACATTGGATAATGATAAATAATTGTGACATCCTTGTATCAAAGGTAATGATCTCATTATACACAATTCCATTTTTAAAAAGGAAACTTGCATAAATATTGCTTATATTTTGCGGAATTTAAAATTATCTTCATATTTTGTGCTTATATCCTACTTTTTAGAGCGTGTATCATATTTTAATTTTAATTTTCTATAAAAATTAACTTAAGCACAAATTTTTAGTATCCATATTCCTCACTACAATGAACCTGAAAAAATATACAAAATACTAAGTTCAAATGAATAAAATGAGCAAACCAACGACAATAATCCTTTATTATTACTTCATTAATTTTTTATTATATTCACATGTGCGTAGGACACAAAAACATTGAGCAAAATATGATGTATAGAGAAAAAAGATAAAATTAAAATACTTGATGGACTTTTAAAAAATGGATATGAATGAAAAACATAAAATATTGGGAATATTTTTAAAATTTCAAAAGAAAAGGTGATATTTAGCAAATTTCCTTTGTAAAACACCAATTCGAGTTAATCAAAGTAGTTATATGAGCTCAAAAAAAATTACCCTCACAATCAATAGATACAATGTTTAAGGGCCCCAGCTAGGAATAATATATTACCGTGACCCTGCTATAATTGATATGAATAGCTAAAAAAAAAAAATATATTATTTATGAAGACTAGTAATATTAATTAATGTTATCAGGATTGGACCAATCACCAAAATATTGAAGCCTAAGGAGTGTAGTCCAGTTAAAACAAGTTCGACCAATAATTGAATGATGCAGAGCAAAATTGTTTTTTTTTTTTAATTTCAAAGAATGTATATTCTCATTTAGTTTGAGGCAATGGTTTAAAAAACGGATCGGTGACCCGAATCGGGCACCTCAAAAACTGATCCGGATCGGCGAATCGGCGATCCGGATCGAGAATCGGCTGAATCGGTCAGATTAAAACTTCAAAAAAATCCAAAAAAATTATTAAAATTCATTATAAATATTGTTTCTTAGGAATCCAATAAAACATCAGAGTACTACATTATTAACTTTCATTTTTTTTATCAATTTGTGAATATTGAGATGCTCTTTCCCGGTATAAACTTATTTTAACTATTAAATTTGCATCACATAAAAGAAAATTCATAGAATTATCATGGATAAAATATATAATTATATATGGACTATTATAAAGAGTAGACTAATCAATGAAAGAATGGCCATTAAAATCTCGTTTTGGCGAAAAACCCTAATCTGCTAAAAAAATCCAAACTATTA